TTTCTTCTCTGCTGAAGAGCTTCCCTGGGCTCCTCGCACTGGGACATGGTTGGCATTGAAATGCTTGTGCAAACTTCCCTTCCTTTCACATTCCCTGGCTAGCTTGGTTTTTAATCTCACAGCCCTGCTTTCCAAATGAGGTTTCCACGGGAGATGAGTATTTATCATTCTTTCCCCTCGCCTGCCTCCCTCCACAGGACTCACAGACTTGAAGGGGATTTCAAGTAACAGCCCAGCCATCCTGAGGGCTGAGGGCCGAGAGAGCCGGCTGGGCTGTCGGGGCCCTAAGTTGGAGCTAGCTTTTTGATCAGTTTCTTCCCATATCAGTCACTGCTGTTATCTGCCCAAGATCAACTCAGTGGGAAACTTTCTGGAAGGTGGGGGAAGAGATATTCAAAGAAGGGGAGGACAGTGATATGTTACACAAGTCACATATTCTGAATCTCGCTTTTCGTGTCTCTGGGAAGAAGAGAGTTGGGTCAAATTACTCATTCTTTCTGTATTTCTTTTTTAAATATATTTCATTAATTTTTTACAGAGAGGAGGGGAGAGGGATAGAGAGTTAGAAACATCGATGAGAGAGAAGCATTGATCAGCTGCCTCCTGCACACCCCCTACTGGGGATGTGCCTGCAACCAAGGTCCATGCCCTTGACTGGAATCGAACCCGGGACCCTTCAGTCCACAGGCCAACGCTCTACCCACTGAACCAAACCAGTCAGGGCTGTATTTCTTTTTAACTACATATAAAAGTGGCACGATTGTTGGAGAATATGGGGTGGTGAGAATCAATGAGTCTTATTGGTGCCCTCCTGGAGGCAGTCTTCCCTGAGGCACTCTTAGAGGCTATTTACCTGGCGTCCAGACACTGTGGGAGATACCGGAGCTGCCCTTCCGAAGACCTGCCTCTTCTCAACCTAGCCACCCTCAGAACGGAGAGACACCGCAGAGTGTTCCTAGACCAGCAAACCAGGAATGTTTGGCCAATAGACACCATTCACTGACTTCCAAAAAGAAGAAAGACCCCGGTTGTCCTATAAAAGGTTCCTTCTAAAGACCAATTCCAGCCCAGCCGGTGGAGTGTCCACCCAGAACCAAGAGGTCCCTGGTTCAATTCCCGGTCAGGACAAACCCCCAGTTGCTAGCTTGATCCCTAGTAGGGGCTGTGCAGGAGACAGCCGATCAATGATGTTCCTCTCTCATCGATGTTTCTATCTCTCTATCGCTCTCCCTTCCTCTCTCTCTAAACATCAATGAAAACATATATTTTTAAAAAAATTCCAATAACTATCTCTGGGTGGTCAGGGTTAGAAACTCCTTTAGTTTTCTTTGTTCCTTTATTTCTTCTCTTTCCATCTTTGCTTTTACTATGGATCACTTTGGTCATCTCAAATATTATTTAGTTTTAATCACCTCAGCCGTTTCTTAACTCAGCAAATGTCTATTGTAAGTCAAATGGTTCTTTAAAATTTCTTTAGGAAGAAAGGAAGGAAAGAAGGAAGGAAGGGAGGGAGGGAGGCAGGGAGGGAAAGAAAAAAAGAGAAGTCCCTTAACTTGGCTGTGATCTCATTTTCTGTTTCCTCCTTTGTTAAAGGAGGTGGTCCCTACCTTGTTTGGGAGCACAAAACACCCCAAGCTGTGACTTCAAAGTAACACCAGCTTGTCTGGTGGAGAATGAGGGAGGTTGAGTCCTGAATCCACAAGCTGGCTATCTCCTGGGGTTCACAAGTCCCTAGCAGACTGACTTCATCTAGTGTTCCCACCGGAAGATAGGGCGCATCTGCCATCTTTAGCCATTTTCAGAAACTACCCTCCCAGGTCAAGCTACACGGACCTTGGAGGTGGGTGGTTTGGGGGGTGTTGTCCTTTTTGTTTTTTGTGCCCGTGGAGCCTCCAGCAGAGCAATGCCAAAGGTGCCAAATTCCTCAGGAACCACCCTCAGAGGCCTCTTCCCGGAAGGATCCCCTGTTGCCAAAATTTCCTGAGAAGGAGATATCTCCATGATCAGACACTGTCGGCCACCCTCCTCCATCATCAAAGCTCACTTGCAGTAGTCACACCTACTGAGAGGACTATGGACAGTCCATCCACTCTTACTTTCACCTGCATTGCCCCGTCTTTTAAGTATTAAAAACTTCCTCTTAATTAAAATGGTCCTTCACACTTTATTTTTTACAATGAAATCTCCAATGTTCCTCCCCCATCACTATCAAGATATCCAGCTCTCTACCGCTCACCAGCCCAATTAAAAATAGATAAATATGTAATAATAAGCAAAACCAAATTCCCATCCGGGCCCACGGCGCCTCCCCTCCCCCAGTCAATCCCGTGTCTTGCTTTAAAACTTGGGAGTGAGAAGATGATGGGCGAAAGTTAGCTTCCCTGAGTTAGAAGCCTGCCGGCATCTTCCACCCGTGTGCGGACTCGTTCATTATCTCACGTTTCCCACAAACAGCGTCCGTTCTCCATAGGGCCATGGTCATTGTCGGTAAGCAGTGATGGGTCCATTTTTACCGCCGCTTCCGTGGTTAAAAGCCGCCTCTGGAGCGCTTTTCCCTGCAGGAATCCCTCTTCCTCCCGCCCCTCTGCAGCCCAACTGCAGGAATTCGGAAGAACTGTCTGGAAACTGATGTGAAGGAGCCCCGGGATCCTTCCCCCCACTGTAACCCTTGAGCTCCGGATGCCCCTACCCTCGCC